TTGCACAGTGACGCCCCCGGGACTGCACAGTGACACCCCCAGGACTGCACAGTGACACCCCCGAGGCTGCACAGTGACACCCCCGGGATTGCACAGTGACACCCCGGGGTTGCACAGTGACACCCCGGGGTTGCACAGTGACACCCCCAGGACTGCACCCCGACACCCCCGGGACTGCACAGTGACACCCCCAGGACTGCACCCCGACACCCCCCGGACTGCACAGTGACACCCCCTGCACACCCCGGGGTTGCACAGTGACACCCCCGGGACTGCACAGTGACACCCCCGGGGTTGCACAGTGACACCCCCAGGACTGCACCCCGACACCACCGGGGTTGCACCAGGACACCCCAGGGATTACACCGTGACACCCCCGGGACTGCACAGTGACACCCCCGGGGTTGCACCAGGACACCCCAGGGATTACACCGTGACACCCCCGGGACTGCACAGTGACACCCCCGGGGTTACACCCCGACACCCCCCCGGCACCCGCAAGAAAGGAGGCGGACGCGTAAAGCTCTGTCTAGTCTTTTATTAGATTTCGTTTCCAATATGCCTGTATTGGAAGATTAGGAGACAAAAAAAGGCACAAACTCACATTTAAAGAAACGACGAGATAATCTAACCCATTCTACAAAGTGTGTTGCCAAAGGAAAGAGCACGATGAACCCATCAGAACGTGTCGGGGAGGCCCAGCAGGAGGAACCCGGAGAGGTGCGGGGAGGGGGGGGACAAGGGGCCCCGCCACCAACCGGCCTGACCCCGGCTGTGGGGAGGAACCTGCCTCGGGACCCCCCAGCGCCTCTCGGGGAGGGGGTCACAGCACAACCATCGCCCCAGAACAGACACAGCCCCCCCGGGGGAGCTGGCAGGAACCAGCAGCGACCCTGAAAGGTCTTGCTAGGATTTGCCCGTCCCAAGGCTGAGGGATCTTTCACTTCAGAATACACTGGGAAGAAAGAAAGAAAGAAAGCAAAGGGCAGGGAGGAGAGGGAAGGAAAGTATTCAGGCTTAGAGTTCCTGCATTTTTTCCCCTCCAGTTTTTTCACTAATCAGGAAAGCTTTTTGTAAAAGCTCTTACTCTGAAATCAGAGGATCAGAAAAGGATTGCAGGGTGGAATGTTACAATCTGCTTCCCTAGCGATTAGTGTCATCAGACAGAAAGCCTCTTGGGTAACACAAACGGAAAGAACAAGTGTGCTATGTGTATTCTTCAGTTGTCCTCAAGTGTAAGAATCCCTCAAAACGTAACCAACAAACATGAACAGAAGTCAGTGCATAAATTCTCTGTTAAAAATACTTTAAACTCAAAGAACTGTAAGTTGGGCCTACACTCCTAAAATTCTTTTCGAACAGCTACAGAAGATGCCACAAAACATCCTGGTCCCAAACAGACTCACAGATTAAAATTTAGTTTATTCACCTATTTTACAGTAAATTTGTTTTACTTCTGCCTGGTGAGATTGCTAAAAATCCCTCAAACCCCACTCCCACCCCACAAAACCGTCTGAGGTCACTGAGAAGAGCCTGCCAGAGAGAATTCAGAGCTTATTGCACTTAGACGTGAGTAAGGCAAAATAACAAACTAAAAAGAAAGGGATAAACTGCCCCCTCCCCAGAAACCAAACGCCATCCTCTCCCTCCAGAACGTGCCTCATCTTCCCTCGCACTGAAAACCATTCAGGTCCCAGCACTAACGTGTTCCAAGTGGCAGGGGATCACCCCAGGACCTCCTGCTTGCAGGAATGTGAAAGGCTGGAGGAGTGGGATGTACCACAGAATGCCAGAGAGACCCCTCAGAGGTGGTGACACACCCAGGGCTGTGTTTGGCAGTCAGGATTTCACGTTAGTGCCACCAAACACCGAAGTGGAAAACAAAGCTATTACTACTAGGGAAAAAAAAAAAGAAGAAAAATCAAACTTTGGGCCTTAGACGTAAGCAAAGAAATTATTTGTTTGTTTGGTTTTTCTCATATGTATTTAATAAAGCAGCATTTTTTTATTCTGTTCTGCTTATTTGATTGTCTAAAGCTGATATCAATGTAAGGACAGTTACAGTAAGTATCTGAGTTCATTAAATAACCAGAGCTCTTTACAATGTAGTTTAACAGTGTCCTCTGTGATTTGTAATAACTGACAGAGATCCTAGAAAACAACTGCAGGTCTTTATAAGTTGCTTTTTTATGGCATGAAAGGAGATATTTTAGTCAGTCTTGCAATGGGAAGAATATTATTGCTGAGCAGAACCACCAACCAGGTACCTGGATGTAGTCAGATACCAAGACTTTACTTGTGTAACAGCTTTTGCTACAACCCAGTTTGTCCAGGGAGGATCACATTATCGTTGGTCAAAAGCATTTTAGCTTTGTAAGTTACTGGAAGTCTTAGTAAACAAAGCAGGAGGAAGCTGCAACATATATCAAGCAACTTTTGGTACTGATTCTGTCGGACTGACACACACAGCTGAAGGACAACGTAGCTACATGGGCCCAAGGGACCAGGTACCACTAAATGGAAACTCAACAGTTACGTGCTGAAGGCCTGAGCGTGGGAACACTGAATGCAGCTTCTGTGCAGTCTTTAATTAATGTGTGCCTAATCAATGTGTGCCAAGACAGAATGAAGAAACGCCGTGCA